CCCCAAAACCCCAAAACCCCAAAACCCCAAAACCCCAAAACCCCGAACAAAATTTCAAGACTTGAACTAAACTATCATAATTATTTTTGAAATTAGATATGGCGTTCAGCAAGACCGATCAGGCTGAGTTAAACAAGGCTATCCTTGAATATTTATATATGAGGGGCTATAAAGATACCCATGATGTATTTATACAAGAAGCTGAGGTTGACTCGGAAGATGATCCCGTTGGCAGGAAAAACATCTTGGAGAAGAAGTGGAAATCAGTAGCTAAACTTAAGAAACAGATAATGCAGCTCTAGAAGACCAAATTAAAAGGTACAAGGAGGAAGTTGATCCCAATCCATTTGATGATGGTCAAAAGAAGGGTCTCCCAAAGGCCCCAGAAAGGTTCCACATGAAGGGGCATAAGGATCAGATTTCACAAATAGTTTTTCATCCTTTGTACGATATTCTTGCGACTGCTTCTAAGGACTCCTCAATAAAATTATGGGAGAGTGAATCTGGAGAGATCGAAAAGACTTTGAAAGGGCATACCAAGAAGATAAATAGTATTGATTTCAACAGAATGGGAACTATGCTTGCCTCATGCAGTCAAGATTCCACAATCAAGATCTGGAATATGGAAAGTCAACAGTGAATTAAAACCATGTCTGGGCATGAGCATAATATCAGCAAGGTTAAGTTCACTCCTTCAGGTGACCATATCATAACCTCCTCTTGGGATCAAACTCTGAAGGTATGGGAGGTTAGAACTGGCTTTTGCCTCAAGACTTTCCAAGGACATGAGGGGTGGATCTACGACTTCGATATAAATGAGGAAGGAAGCCGAATGATTTCATGTTCCGATAAGCAAGAAATCATCTACTGGGACCTCGATATCAAGGGCGACCGGTCTATTATTTCTATCCTGGATGAAGAGCACTCAAATAAGATCGAAACTGTAGCGTTCCTTCCAATGTTGACGGCTAAAACATTTACAAAGGCGAGAAGAGACCAAGACAATGAAGAAGAGCAGACAGGGGGAAATGTAGAGGAAGAAGAGAACAAAGATGAAGAAGAGAAGACAGTTGAGAACCAGACCAGCTCTGAAACCAAGATACGATCTTCTAAGGCTGAAGAGCTCCGTAAGATGAGGGAGAAAATGAAGATGATGAAAGATAGAGCAGCTGGAAGGACTGATAGAGAAGAGAATGAAGAAGAAAAGAAAGAAGAGGAAAGTATAGAAGATATTGTAGTCAGAGATGAGTTTATAGCTAGCGGGTCAAGAGATAAGCATATCAAGATTTGGAACGCGAAGCGAGGAAATTGAATTATGAACCTTATAGGGCATGATGGATGGGTTAGAAGTATTGTTTTCCATCCCAACGGTAAATACTTGCTCAGCTCATCTGATGATAAGGCTGTATTTGTATGGGACCTAAGTAGGAATGGAGTCTGAGTGAAGAAACTCAGGTCTATTCACACCGGAGATATTACATCTATAGCTCTATCTAAAAAACAATTAGCAACAGGCAGCAATGATAAAACAGTAAAAATATTTAATTTACAATAAACTAGCTCTTCAATAACATTAAATTAAGCCGGGGTTTTGGGGTTTTGGGGTTTTGGGGTTTTGGGGTTTTGGGG